TATGGCGGCCGGTGGCTTCACTTCACCCCCGTACTACCAACGAGCAATCAGCAATCCAGGGAATAAATAGTGATCAGTGTTTAAATCAGCTGCTCTCCAGGCACCGCACCATGGCAGCCCACTGCTGCCCAAAGGAATGGCTTAAATACAGTTAATTTCTCCAAGGTGAGATCAATAAAGTTCAGTTATTATTATCATGAAAATATGCTGTTTTAAACTCAAAACTTTAAATTCCAATTTTCTTCACCGTCTTTGAACTAAAGTCTAAACAGTCCAGAAAGAGGAAACAGTCTGATGACAGCTGTCCTCACGTGACTCTGTGCGCATGCGCAGTGGCGGAGTAACTCGGAATGCTCTGTGGTCTGGAAGCGGCTCGCGCTGCACATCCAGAAGCTGGACGCTCGCGCGCTGCTCGGCTCCATCAGTGAGAAGCGGAACCGGAAGCAGCCATGAGCTTCTTCGGGTTCGGTCAGACTGCGGACATCGATATCATCCTGAATGACGCCGAGACGAGGAAGAAAGCGGAGCACAAGAGCGAAGACGGAAGGAAGGACAAATATTTCCTCTTCTACGACGGAGAGACGGTGGCCGGGAAGGTCAGCGTGACGCTGAAGTACCCGGGGAAGAGGCTGGAGCACAGCGGCATCAGAGTGGAGTTTGTGGGTCAGATAGGTAAGCGGGCCGCTTCCTGTCTGCGATCAACAAGTTCCCTCTGGAACAGGCAGGGAGTCCCGTGATCGCTGACGTCATCACCCACAGAGGATCATCCCTGAGTGGGTCCCTGAGGGCCGCTGTCCTGCAGGTTTCAGAGGTTTCCCGGCTTCAGCACAGCTGATTCTGATGGTGGAAGCCTGTTCATCTGGGAAACCTCTGAAACCTGCAGGACAGCGGCCCCTGAGGGCCCCACAGTGGGGCCCCTGAGAGCCCACTGTGGGGCCCCTAATGGCCCACTGTGAGGTCCCTGATCTAAGCTAAACCTTCCAACCCTCTGCAGGGTTGGAAGGTTTACACTCCTCTCTACTCATGTTTTCATTTCCATGTCTTCGCAAATCAATGGAAGGATCATGCTTACAGGGATGATGATGATGATGATGATGATGATGATGATGATGATGATGATGCAAACAGAAGGCGGCTCTCAGGAGGAAGAGGTCTTGACTCAGGGATCCAGCTTTCAGATCCAGGAACTAGGAACTCAGCTGCAGTCCTTTAACCTCTGCAGGGACACTAAGAAAGCTGGCCTCAGTCAGGGGTGGATTTAGGAAGTCTGGGGCCCTAGGCAAAGACAGGCAGGGGGCCCTCTGAATGTAGAAGTCAACACATAGAACAGACCCATTCTACAGATA